TAGCCTCCTCTACAGTGCTTGGGAGATGACTAGGGTCACCCAGCTGGAGCAACTTCCCATGAAGATCAGTAGCTGGAAACCATGGGGCCTCTTCAGTAGGGGAGGGCTGTGTGCACAAAATCACCAGGCTCTGCCAATGCCAGACACAACCCCAGCGCCCCCTACGTGGTTTTCAGGCACCAAGGCAGCAGGTGCTACAACTAAATCTTCTATCCTGAACTGCAGCCCAGCCTCCACTGTACAAGTTAAGCAAAGTAAGAAGGGAAGGGGGAGAGGAATCATGCACTTGGAAATGGTTAGATGTCACAGCACTGTCAAAATTCTGCTTTGGCAGGGACTGAGGCCCCTGCCTGCAGCCTGGGGTCCTGACAGCCGTCCACAAGGCAGCCCCTCAGGGTCGCTGCTTCTCACTGCTGCTTGCACTCCGCTGGCTGGCTGGGTTCTTTCTGCAAGGAGAATACAGGATTTGAAGAGAATAAAACCAACATCACTCATCAAGTCTCCCCATCCCACAAGAACCAAGGAGCTTATTCTTTCTTACCAAAAAGGTGGCTCCTGCAAACATTGAAAGAGCTGACATGGAAACAAGTCAGCTCTCCAGGGAAAGTCACAGGAGTTTGCTCATCTGTTCTAATACAAAGTCTAACTTAGAATGTGTTAGGCAGAGATCTGTTGGGGGCCACAGAAACAAACTATGCCCCGAGAGGCTTTGCTGCTATTACAGACTACACCTGCATCTATGCCTGCAACCGCCTCTCCCAAGGGCAGCTCTGTCCTTGGGTATTCATGCAGGGAAGGCTGTCCTTCCCAGCGAGCTGACTCCAGTAGCTCATGGCCATGGCCACCTCCTGCAAAGAGCCACATCCACCAGTCTCACAAGACAGGAATCCAGATTATGACTGTCTGAGGCGCAAGGCAACTTCACTCTAACATAACACACAAATCTGGTGCCTTTAAACCACATTCAGGACCCAGGGAACTTTGTATGGAGGTCAATGAAAGCCCGAGGACAGCCAAGGACCTCAATGCTACCTCAGAGCTAAGACATGCACTCAACTCATCTCTCCCCAGAATCCCTGGGAGCTACAACTAAAGCTCACACTGACTGTGGAGCATGGTGGTAAAAGTCTGTTATTCCAGGATAAGGCAGGGAAATGCCATGCTCAATCAAGGCCAGCCTGACCCATGTGGTGAGACTCATCATGTCCCCAAGTAACTAGAGTTAGTGATACAGCTCAGTAGTGGAGCACTTGTCTGGCATGCCCAAGGCTTTATCCTTAGCACCCCAAACAATTGTTTTTAGAGAACGACTATGTACATAGCCCTGGCTGCCCTTGAACTCAGATTATCTGCATGCCTAGGTCTTTCAAGTGCTTTAAAAAAAATTTACTTTTTTGCTTTTGTTTTGAGACAGTCTCACTGTGTAGTCCTGGCTGTTCTGGAACTCACTATGTAGATCAGGATGGTCTTGAACTCAAGGTATCTGCCTATCCAGTGCTAAGATTAAGGGGCATGCACCACTATGCCCCGTTACTCTTATTTTATTATGTGCATGGGTGTTTCGGCTGCATGTATGTCTGTGCACTATGCATGCCAGCAGAATTCAGAAAAGGGGGTAGTCAGATTCCCTAGACTAGTTATATACAGTTGTGTTCTGATATGTGGATGATGGAAACTGAATCTTTGGAAGAGTAGCCTGTGCTCATAACTGCTGAGTCATCTTTCCAGCCCTAATAAAAGAAATTTGTTAAAAGTGTTTCTACTACTTTGCATGGTTATGGGGTTCTAATAAGAAAAGCCTGCATTGCGTGAACATTTAAGGTAACACCAGAAGTGTCTATGGTATAAGAGGAGAACCCCAACAAGTCCACCTTGAGACACCACACTTCAGGGGCAAAAATATACCTACAGTGCCAAGACATGCAAGGAGAACCTTGGCCTGGTCTGACTGCAAATGTTTTCCAACTAAAAAAAAAAATTTTTTTACTCTTATGTGCGCCTGTATGTCTATGTAAGGGTAGGCATCAGATCCCCTATAAGTGGAATACAGATGGTTGCAAGCTACTGTGTGGGTGCTGGGAATTGAACCCAGGTACTCTGCAAGAGCAACCAATGCTCATAACAGTGAAGCCATCTCTCCAGCCTCTGAACTGTGATGAGAAGAACACAGGCCTCCAGGTTGGGGCTGCCATCCCTACCCGTGTCTAAGAGGGCTTTGTAAGTCGACAAGGAATCCAAGCCCAGAGAAGCTATGATATTCTCAGTTGCTGACAACATTTGGAATTCAAACCCAAGCTGCTAGGTGCTTGGGTGCTGTGAAGGATTTCTCTTGATTGGATCATTTGAGGTGAGAAGACCCACCATAAATCTAGGCCACATTTATGTAAAGGACATGGAAGAAGAAAGCTTTTGCTCTTTGTCTGTTGGCCCTCACTCTCTGGCAAGTCCATTCCTTCACTGGCTCTATTAGAGACTTCTTTGGGATTCTGACATATACACAAGATCAGCTGAGACATCCAGCCTTGTGGACCGAACAATTATCAGATTTTTGAACTTTCCATTAGGAGATAGCTATTGTTGGATTAGTTGGATCATAGATTATAAGCCACAGTCTATCAGTTGTTTTTCTTTTTAAACTTTTAAAAAAGGTTTATTTATTATGTATAGTCTTCTGTCTTGCATATATGCTTACACACCGGCAGAGGGCATCAGATCTCATTATAGATGATTGGGTGCCACCATGTGGTTGCTGGGAATTGAACTCAGGACCTCTGGAGGAACAGCCAGTGCTCTTAACCTCTGAGCCATCTCTCCAGCCTATATCAGTTTTTTTTTCCTCCCCCTAGAAAAACCCAATACAGATGCAAATCAAGCAAGAGCAGTCAGAAGACAGCCAAAGCTAGATCTAGAGGCAGTCAACACAGTAGCCAAGGTCACTGACCCACTGATCTAGAGAGCATCAGGGAGGCAGGGTGTCCCAGGCAAGTACAACAGGGACAGGAGAGAGGAAGGCAAGCGATGCACACACAGGAAGGAGTGTGAGCTCAATGGGCTGGGGTACAACTGGAGTCCAGTCCCAGTAGAGAAGTAAATAAAGTAAATAAAAAAGGCAAACGGAACAAGAGGCACTGCAGGTGGCATCTCCCCACCACTGCCTCAGAACACAGGCGCCCTGCATTTTATCTTGTTACTTAAATGAAGTGGCATTTCTGACCACCAGAACCTAACATTTTTGTCTTCTATAAAACCAAAACTGAGGGTGTAAAATCCAAAACGCAGACCCCAGCAATGCAGGTGATGAAGCTACTAGAGAGCACAATCCTTACTCGGTGGCAGAAGAGGCTGCCATCACGGCAAGAGCAGTGAGGCAGCAGGCTTAAACGGGGATACTATAGCTCCAGACCCCACCACTGCCAGGCAGTAGATCACAGTGTCAACTGGTGCTCTTGCTGTGGTAACCAGGTTTAAAAGGGGATTTTGCAAATGGGATATTTACTGGCTTTGGACATAGTCAGAAACTAAATTGCAACTGAACTGTAACATCTGCCACATCACATCTTAATGACAATTTGGCCACTCAATGCTAGCCTGCCTGTCAAGGGAGGGGAGCCAGTACTTAAAAACACACAAGCAAGCCAAAACCTTGCCCACCAGGACTACATAAGATGTGATTGTTAAGAGCACAGTGGGCCTGAGAAAGGTGGAACTGAGGCCACTTACCTCCACCATGCCAGCTACACTAGGGAGCCAGGCCCACGCCAAAACTACCTGCAGGTAGACACCTTCCATGGTCTGCTGTTACTATGGCCTTCGTAATCAGGAGACCTTTAACACTGACAGTCAACTGCACCTAACTGCTGGAGTGAAGATGGCTCCAGAGTGAGCCCACCAAGGGCAACAAACCAAGGCTCTGTAGGACTGCACTGTCATTCTGAACTATTCTTTATTAACTATTGTCTTCACAACAAAAGACAGGGGCCTACCCATGGGATAAGATTTTGAGTTCCTTGTGGTGTCTCCCACTCTTCCTGGCCTTCCTTCTCCTACAGCAGTATACATGTGCAAAGCTGTGAGCACTCCATAGGGAAGGCTTGTCACTGCCAAGGGTCTCTCCTCCCTGCTAGTTGCCTAAGGGTGAGGGACGCTCTCCAGATTACACAGGAAAGAAAAGGTGCCTCACAACATGCTCACAAGTGGCTCTGTCATCCTCTAACCAAACTTGAGGTGGGGCTTTATCATCCCCACACTGGTAGGGACTTCAGCCAATATGACTTGATCTTCCGTTCACTCACTTGTCTGCACAATGCCTGGTATAGTGTATAAACCCAATAGACACCTACACAAATCCAGGGTAACTATAGCCGAAGTGTTTGAGACTGTCACAGCGTAGCCAACAGGTACCTCCCCTACCAGGCCTGTGTGCTCAAGGTGGCTTCTGTGGCCATCTTGCCAGTTGCTGATCCCCCAGAGTCTCTTGTTCTGTCACAAGACAATGCCCCACCCCTCCCAAGTATAGCTCAAGTACTAGTTAACAAAAACACCAGGCAGGCCCTGAAAGCAGGGGTTAAGTTTAACTATTCTGCTGGTTTTACAAATGCATTTAGCTGTGGAAGCTCCATACACGAGCTGCTTACAAGAGCTGGAGGAACCCTAGCTCCTGAACAATGTGGTGGATTGTACCTTTCTGTGTCCCAGAAGTCAAAGTAATGCAAGGAATCAAGTACAGACAATAATTTGGAAGTTAGGTATGAACAGATTCCACCTTACCTAGAAATGCATGAATGATTAACACAAAAATTACACCTAAATGGGGAAAAAAATTGAAAGGAACTGTCAGCATGAAAGAAATGAAATGCACAAAATTATACAGGAGGCAACAGCCACATTCTCATGATACAAAGGCTTCCAGTAGGGGTAGGAGCAGCTTTAGCATAGCAGAGCTGCATTCCTTCCCAAGGCCAGAACCTCATTCCCTCTTACAACAAACAACTCCCAGACAACACTCTCTGTGTAATTTTTGTGTGCAGATTCCAACAGCCCTTCACTTTGAAAGGTGCACATGAAGCCACAGAACCACATCTTGACCCAAAGACAACAGGACCACCCCTTGAACTGCCTGCAACAACAGCTTGCCATACTGTCCCATTGCCTACATGACTTCTTTAGATTCTCTCCACACCCAGACAACAAAAGAGGCCAGATGCCCAAAGGGCTTTTTATTAAACACATGATCATCAGGGTGAGAGGATCTCTTCAAAAAACAGACATGAGAGGAGACAGAAGGCTCTGCAGATGACAAAGGGCAAACAACAGTAAAAAGAAAAGGGAGGAGAGGGGATACACCGGAGGCTAAGTGAGACAAACATAGCACAGAGGCCAAGGTGTACCAAGTTGAACTGTGCACATGCCCTGGTCCCTGCCAAGTGCACTGTGACCATGTGTCCATTTAGTGCCCACAGGGCATAAATCCCCACCTCCACCCCATGAGGCTCACCAGTACAGTCTCTGTGACCCAAGGGTGATCCTTAGAGGAGAGTATCATTCGTAACAGTGGCAGCAGCTCATTTCTCACTTTTCCTTCAGGAACTTCTTAGTGTGTGCATGCATTCCCGGCAGCACAGCAGCCACAGCACCAAGTCATTGCATTGGCAGCTTTTAGCACACACTCCACGCAGGGAAAACAGGACAACAGACAGACACTAGCCAGTCAAGAGACTCAGAGCACAGAGACACCAGGTAGGGGTGCATTCCAACAGACCCCACACACTGTCAAACACAAGGCAGTATGGCTGCGCTAGAGCAATTCAGGCTATCCTGTCTTCATGTGCCTACAGTCTTCTAACAATAGTCTCCTGAGACAAGAGAAAAATCCCAAACTTAACTGGTAAAATTGGTAGAGTAGCCTGTCCATTTTTTTTTTTTTTTTTGGTTTTTTTGAGACAGTGTTTCTCTGTGTAGCTTTGGAGCCTATCCTGGCACTCGCTCTGGAGACCCGGCTGGCCGTGAACTCACAGAGATCCACCTGCCTCTGCCTCCCGAGTGCTGGGATTAAAGGTGTTCGCCACCAACGCCCGGCTGCGCCTGTCCATTTTTTTCTTTAGCTGTGTGTATGTACGTACAGATGTCTAGGACACCTTTCCTGAATTTTCTCAGCAAGTATGAATGTGAAGTTCTGACCACAAGCTAATTTTTCTTTTTTACAGCACACAATCCCTGCCAGGTCCTCTGCAGACAAACATGGGTGCTTCCTGTTACAGCATTCCTCTAAGGAAGAGCTGGAAACTACAGGTGCATGCTCAAGTCTACAGAGCTGAACACCTAGTTGAATTAAACACCCAATGCTCCAGGCACATGAGGTGTCTTTCCTCGACTGCAGATTTTTTAAACTAATATTTACTTATTTATTATGTATACAGTATTCTGTCTGCATGTGTCCCTGCAGGCCAGAAGAGGGTACCAGATCTCTTTACAGGTAGTTTTGAGTCACCATGTGGCTGCTGGGAATTGAACTCAGAGGACCTCTACAAAATCAGTGCTCTTAATCCCTGAGCCATCTTTCTAGCCCTCAACTGCAGATTTTTTTTTTTTTTTTTTTTTTTTTGGATATACATATTCCTAGCATCACTGCCTCAAAATGGGAAGAAGCTTTAAAAGCCCCACTGTGCAATATTGGTAGACTCAGGAAGTCCCCAAAGAACTAACCTTGGGGTTAACATCAGCATCATCCTCATCTTCTGCCTCCTCGTCACCTTCCAATTCCTATAATAAAAGGAGACAAAGGTAAAGGGAGATGACTAAGGACATGACCAAAGGGCGTCACCTGAACACGTGGAAAGTGACACACAGCTTATTTTTATTTTGCACAACTAAAGCTAATTCTTACAAAAGAAACCAGAGCTAGAGGGACACTCAGTGGTTAAGAGCACAAACTGCTCTTGTAGAGAGACTGAATTCAGGTCCTAGTACCTATGCTCACACCCCTGGAAACATCTGCTTCAGGAGATCAGACGCCTTCTGCACTCCAGGAACCAGCACTCAAAGCATAACCACACATGAGCATAAATAAAAGTTTTTTCTTAAAAATCTTGGAAAAGTATTTCTTTAAAAATGAAAGGAAAAAAAGATTCAGCTGAATAGACTGACCCAGAAGCTAAGATTCCTGTGGTTTCTGCTTTCCACAAGCAAATCACAGCAGAGACCTGCTTTTGGGCCAGTCACTAACAATTACTCTACATATCTTTTTGCTTTCACAGGTAACTCAGAAACACTTCTAAAAACGTAAACATTGCTTATTAAATAATTATTAAGGTACTTTTTTTTTCTTTTGTTTTCAATGCAAGGTTTCTCTGTGTAGCCTTAGGTGTCCTTGAACTTGCTCTGTAGACAAGGCCTAACTCAAAATCACAAAGATCCTCAGCATCCCGAGTGCTGGGATTAAAGGTGTCACCATCACCAGCTAAGACATTTTTATAAGCAATTACAGGGTCAAAATCTATGGGCACAAAAAAATCAAAATGGCAACCAAAACCAGAGCAAGACCCTTTGACCTCCTAACTCCAAGCAAAGAACTCAAAGCTATACAAGGTTGGTGTGAGAATACTACATGCACCTTCTTCCTTACCTCCTCTTCTCCCTCCTCTCCTTCTTCAAACTGCAGGGGAAACAGAAAACAATTTAAATTTCTACAACCATGACATAGCCCCAATACCAAGCTGATAAGCACCCTGCTATGCTAAAGACAGCACGAAGCCTGGTGCTGCTGCTACAGAAGCAGTGATGGCTTGCTCCATCCAGGTGTCCGAGAGGCACATGCTGCTGTTGCAGGCCCAGCTCAGCCCAGCAGAGCAAGGACTGTGCTGTATGATGAGGGACTTTCCAGTATTGAAAGTTGCTCAAAACAAGAGTTAAGAATGGGAAGGAGTGACAAAGAGCTGCTGGCTGCATGTTAGATAAGCTCCCTTTCTATTTTCAGACTAAAACAGGGGCAACTACAGTCATTTGGGAAGAGGCACTCTCAATTGAGAAAAGGCTTCCATGAGATGTGCCTAAAGGCAAGACAGTGGTACATTTTCTTGATTAATGATCAACATGAACGGGTGCAGCTCACTGAATGTGGAACCACTCCTGGGCTGGTGGTTCTGGCTGTTATAAGTAAGGCTGATCAAGCCAATAAGCAGCAACCCTCTATGGTCTCTGCATCAGATTCTGCCTCCAGGCTCCTCATCTTACTTCCCTGGATGATGCTTTTGGTCATGATGTTTACCCCAACTAAGACTAAGGCTAAAACTAAGTTAATTAGCTGCCCAGTTGCATGCAGGAATTTGGGCATTTCATATCTCCCCCTCCCCCCAGCCCACATACATTGTCATCATCCTCTATGGCCTCCCCAGTGAAGTAGAGGACAGCCCGTGGCACGATTCGCTCACGGAAAAAGTGCCCAATTTCAAAGTCAGAGGCTAAGGTGAACTCGGAATCTTCATCCTGAGAGAGAAAACCAATACATTAAATCATTTCAGTGGGTTAAAGACATGTTCAGCACCCTCACCCTACCCTCAGCCCTTACTCTGAATCATCTATACTGCTGGGTAGTCAACACATTGAAAGCCACTTAAAATGACCTTCAAGTCAATGTTCAAATGGCACTATGAAATAACATGAAAGCAAAACAATAGAGCAGATGAGCTGCAGCTTTGCCATCTGTCTAGGTTTTCAGCATAGGGGCACTGGGTCTCTAGCAGGGACTAAAAGACAGGTATAAAAAAACAAACATTTCTCCCCAGGCCCAAGGTATAATGACTTCATTTTAACTACAGAAACTAAAGGAGCAAGAATGGATTAGAAAGACAGAAAACCAGGGCATTAGATAATATATCTTACCAAAGATTCTCCATCTCCAGAGGCTAGAAAAAGAAAAAAAAAAAAAATTACATTACAATGTAAATTACAATGTACATTACAATGTAAAAAAAAAACTTACATTACAATGACAACCAATGTCTTAACATCCACATTGAAGGCAACTCAGCTGGTGGACAGTTCTGTCAGACCCCAATGAGGCACCATAGCACCTTGTGAACATTTTCATAAGCTCCATATATTACTTCAGCTAGAGAAGGCTGTAGGTCAAAAAAGCCTGAGAATTTGAAGAATGAGCAGGAAGTCGGTGAACCAGCTGCCCTAGGGATGGCAGTCAGTGAACTGTCCATGTAGATTGACCCTGTACACTGTATAAATGCTGAATTACGCATGCCTATCTGTTATAAAGGAAGAATTCAAAGTCTGATGATGACCCTACAGAGGGGTTGCAGCTTGTCACCCAAGGCTGATGCAACCATGAGTGAGGGTATACACACAAGACTATCATAGTGGTACTGACATTCACCAGGCCAAAGAGGAGATGTGGGCTTCTTACCACACTCCATGAAACCAAACCAACCACCACCTGACAGATAATTTGGACCTTGACTAGCAATGTGCTGGAGTTAACCTAATCCCTTCTGCTCAACCTGTGGTGCCAGCATTTCTCACAAGGCTCAAGTCATTTGGTGTCACAGCCTGGCAGCATTCACTGGCACAAAGACAGTGTTGGTTGTATGAGCACCACCCAAGAGACTGCTGCTATGTAGGCAATGTACAGGGTCTGAGGGCTAGAACCCCATCTTCCCAGGGACAAGCACCCTAGCACTTGCCTTCTAGACCGATCCTGTAGGTTGAAGGTCAGTGGGGGCTATACTATGCAGCATTTCCTTCATCCCCGAATCTGTAACACACCCCCCTGCCATCCTCCTCCTTTCTTGTTCACAGCACTCATCACTTGACCCTGGTTTTATGTGCTGCCTGACTAAAATGCAGGCTGAAAACTGAATGAGCTAATTTCAGAGTTGTGCTACTGTAAATCACCACCCCTAATATCATGTCTGCTTATCAAGCCCACTTTTGCTGTTGCTTTAAAAACAAAAATAAGAAAATTCCCAGAGAAGCTGACTTTTTTTTTTTCTCTTTCTTCAAGACGGGGTGGGTGTGTGTGTGTGGGGTGGGTGTGTGTGTGTGTGTGTGTGTGTGTGTGTGTGTGTGTGTGTGGTGTGTGTGTGTGT